CCGCGCCCTTCAAGGTGCTCTATTAGCGCGCGCAGCTCAGGATCGTCTCGTTGACGTCGGGCCATGTCGTCGGTGTTCACTGCGCCCAGGAAACACTCGTCGTCATCGTCGTTGCTGCTGTCGGAAGGTGTTTCGACGGGAGCTCTAGACAAGCAGTCGGCGTCGCTGTGCTTGCGGCCTGACTTTTAGACCTCGGTCATGTTGAACTCTTGTAGTCGGAGACTCCATCGCGCGAGGCGTCCTGACGGGTCCTTGAGGTTCGCGAGCCAGCAGAGCGAGTGGTGGTCTGTGACTACGCGGAACGGGCTCCCGTATAAGTATGGACGAAACTTCGTGATTGCCCACACGACCGCAAGGCATTCTTTCTCGGTCGTGGAGTAATTTGTCTCCGCCTTGAACAATGTCCGACTTGCGTAGGCGATGACTGGCTCGGTGCCCTCCTGTACTTGAACCAGTGCCGCGCCAAGTCCTGCGTTGCTTGCGTCCGTGTGAATCTCGGTTTCCGCATCCTGGTCGAAATGTCCAAGAGCAGGAGGAGTCTGCAGTCGTCGCTTCAGCTCGTCGAATGCCTGCTGCTGCTCCTCACCCATTCGAACTTCTCGGCGTCCTTCGTGAGGTTTGTGAGCGGTGCGGAAAGTCTTGTGAAATCTCGAACGAAGCGCCGATAGTAGGCACATAGCCCAAGGAACCTTCGCACGGCCTTCTTGTCTCTTGGCGCTGGAAATGCTGCGACGGCGCGAGTCTTCTCTGAGTCTGGGCGAATGCCTTCATTACTAGCCACGTGACCAAGGAACTTCAGTTCGTCATAGGCGAACCGACACTTTGACGGCTTGAGGGTGAGTCCGGCGATCCGTATTGCTTGGAGAACAGCTCGGAGTCGCCGGAAAACACTACGACGTCGTCGAGGTAGACGAAACAGCTCTCTCACTTCAGTCCTGCCAGTACGGTGTCCATGACACGCTGGAAAGTTGCTGGCGCCGTGCATAGTCCGAAGGGCATCACCTTAAACCCGTACAGCCCATCCGGTGTGACGAAGGCTGTCTTCTCTCGGTCCTGTTCGTCGACTTCGATCTGCCAGTAGCCGCTCTTCAGGTCCATCGATGAAAAGTATCGAGAATGGCGCAGCCGGTCTAACGTGTCGTCGATGCGTGGGAAGGGATAGACGTCTTTCTTCGTCAACTCGTTCAGCTGCCGGTAGTCCACGCAGAACGTAAGCGTCCCGTCTTTCTTCTTAACCAGTACTACTGGAGAGGCCGAAGGACTACTTGAGGGTTGAATTATGTCGTCGTTCAGCATCTCTTGAACTTGCTCCTGGATCACCTGCCTTGCTTTCACGGAGACACTGTATGGAGATCGATGCACAGGGCGCGCGTCGTCCTCGGTAATGATGCGGTGCTTCGCAACGGCGGTTTGGCGTACTTTTGACGACGTGGCAAAGCAGTCGCGGTATTCGGCAAGGAGGTCAATCAGCTGACGTCGTTTCGAGCCCGGAAGCTTAAGGTCAATGTCTAGCTGTGCTGGCGACGTATTGTCTTGCTGAGGTGGCGAGGATTCACCAGTAACGGCGGCGATTTTGGTGGAGTTTCGAAGTTCCTCGACGTGGCCAACGGCTGCACCTTTCGTGAGGTGTTGCGCTTCGTTTCGGAAGTTCGTCATGAGGACCACAGTGCGGCCATCCTGAAGTTCAGCAACCCCTCTTGCGACGCCTATTCCTCTTCCTAGAAGCAACTGGAGGCTTCCTTCAAGCAGAACTTCGCCGCAGAAAGCTTCGGTGATCCCGACGGGTGCGAAGACACTCGACCGCGGCGGTAAGTTCACGTGACTTGCGAGGACTCGGACCGCGGATGACGTCGCTTCGGGTTCCTCCGGTGGTGAAACAGGTTTTCGTTGAGTTAGCCGGTTTGCTCTGAGGTCGATGACGGCGCCAAATTCGCAGAGAAAGTCCATTCCGAGAATAACGTCCCTCGAACAGCCTTGCAGAACGACGAACTTGACAGGGAACGTCTCAGCTTGAATCTCGACGTGTGCAGTGCATCTCCCAACTGGTGTAATGAGGTGTCCTCCGGCGGGTCTTATTTGTGGTCCATCCCACGGCGTCATGACTTTTCGAAGGCGGCGGGAGAGCCTCCCACTCAAGACTGAGTAGTCTGCTCCGGTGTCCACGAGTGCCGATGCGTCGAGGCCGTCGATAACAACGTTTAGGTTGTTGGACACCAATGCAGGAGCGTCGTTGTGATGCGCAGCGTCAGGAGAGTGGGAGCGCTCCGTCGTTCTTGGAGGCTCTATACGTCGGTCGTCTTCGGCAACTCCACCTCCAGGGGTTGCCGCGCCTAGTTCCCCCGGCGTGGAGCGAGGGGCGACAGGCTTTCACGTCGGGGTCGGTGCATCGGCAAAGCTGGACGTCGTGGCGAAGGCGACCGGAACTCTCGGCGGGACGCAGGCTCGGGGGACTGAGGTCGTCGCAGGTACTCGTCGATCTCCCGAGGGCGTTCACCATACCAGGGGCGCGGGTCGTTTGGGTGGAATCCACGCAGCCCGAGTCGTCGGTATGGGCATCGGCGGTACACATAGTCAGCTTCTCTGCAGTGGTAACACAGAGGGCATCGGTCGGCCGTCCTCCAGACGTCTGTCTTCCTCGGCGCAGCTTGCTCTGGGTGAACGTGCGACTGATCTTCCTGTCGTCGGGGGTACTGCTTCGTTGGGGCGTCTCTTCGGGGTGGCGAGGTGGCTTGGCGGGGAGCTTGCGGCGGTCGTCGGGCTATCGCGGCGTAGCTCAACGTCGGTTCCTCCGGTGCCACCGCGGTGACGGGAACCTCTGGTTCGAGCGCCCGATGCACTTCTTCTCGGAAAGCCTCGGCGATGGAAAAAGTTGGCGGACGGCTGGTAGTTGGCAGCAACCTTCGCAGTTCCTCCCGGACAACCTCTCGGATAATTTCCCGGATGTCCGGTGCACCCGGAGTGTTTTCGCCGTTACGCAGTGTGGGTGCAGCGACGCCTGGATGTCGCTGGTAGTGGGAAGCACGTGCCTGAAGCGCGCGCTCGATGTTGGTTGCTTCGGCGACGAAAGCTTCGAAGGTGGCAGGCGGGCTCCGCACAAGGCCACCTAAGATGTTTTCCTTCACACCGCGCATCAAGACCCGCAGCTTTTTCTCTTCGGGAGCGGTTGGCTCGGCGCGATTCATGAGGTGGAGAACGTCTTGGACGAAGCTTGTGACGCTCTCGGTCGGCCCTTGGGTTCTCGCTCGCAGGAGTTCTTCGGCACGCTGCCGTAGGTGCTGGTTGGCAAATGTCCGTCGCAGCTCGGCCTGGAATTCTTCCCACGACGCAATAGACGCTTCGTGGTTCGAACCAGGTGCGTGCCGTGCCTTCCAGAGCAAAGTAGACGTTCTGAAGGCACTGCTCCGGCTTCCATCGGTTATGGCGGGCCACTCGTTCGTAACGTTGTAGCCAATCTTCAACGTCCCCGCGGATCTCCCCGTTGAAAGGCGTCGGAGTCCGGGGTGCGACGGGCAAGTATACGACGGCAGAAGCGGCAGGGATCTCCGACTGGTTGGCCATCGCCGTCTTCTTGGACCTTGGCTTGTCCGGCAGCAGACCGTACTCAGGATCCTCTCCCTTAATGTGGCGGCTGGTCCGAGTTTCAGGTTCCGCGGTTAATGGTCTTCTCATCAAGCCGGGAGTCGGACTTGCACTGCGGGCCCTTGGAGGGGAACGCTGCACGGGCATGCGGTACCCCGCACCTCCACCAGAATGTCACGGCTGGTAATCAAAAAAACAATAAATAAACAGGAAGAAATAAACGCTTAATGTGGCGAACTTGTGCCAAAAATAAAAGGGTACAAGAAATAATAACAGAGCGTCGCGGGCGTCGAAGTCGGCGTAACAGCAGAGTCGAACGCTGGGGCGAGACTGACTCCGCTTGCCTGGCGGAATCCCTTATGTACCCTCGTGGGTTTCTGGATCGTTCGGCGTGGAAGTTTCGGCGCGTAGAACATTCTAACCTCGAACAAGCAACATGGTTCTCGAATTTACCAGAACATTACTTTACAAAGCCAACAAAAATGCGCCTCCGCGGCCAGGAATTGAACCTTGCGTTTCGCGTGGGAGGCAGGCGCGATAACCGTTAGGTCACGCGCGCGCTACCTACTTGGCCAGCTGCGCGCGCGGCAATATAGTACACTTAAGGAGAGTTATTTTTCATTACCGCAAAAGTTGACAAAGTACAAAACGGACATACCGTGCACGCACCACAAACACCCCATATAAATGGTTCTAATATTATTAAACACGGTGTAGACGCCTTTTTTATGATAACACTTCAATGACTGGGAACTTTATAATGAAAGTGTTTTATGCTCCGTGCATGAAAGAATTCAATGCACCTCGTACATAATTATTCTGCGTGTTGATAATAACAAGAGTAAGTTACCCACAAAAGGGCGTCTGGTGTCTCCACTCTTGAGGAGATATTAGGCCAGTTCACTACCATTGCGAGCTGGGGGCATTTAATGTGCACCACGTAGCATTGATAGACAACAGCCACGCAGGTACAATACTTATCCAAATCGGAGTGGGCAGGGATGGCTATTAATTTTCAAAAAATAAGCTTCTGCGTGTTGGTAAGGCATCACAATTGAAACGTAGCGCAAAAAGACAGGACAAGACGTAGAGAACATGCAATCACCGAAATTAGAACTGAAGATTTATCGTCAAGGCGGAAACTTATATTAGACGACCAACCGAAACCACACATACAAACACGCACACCCTCTGACACACCAGTCGGTTGCAGTACCCTTGTCACGGTTGTGGTTGTCGTGCAAAAGTTGACTTCGTGATTGTGTGTACACTTACTTCTGTCCTGCCTTTATGCACTGTAAGTTTTAATCATCGTAGTTATTAAGGTGGGATTCCAGGACTCTGCAGATCGAGCCTATCGCTCTGTGCTCCGGGCTGCGGTGTGCTAAGACGTTCGGCCTCCGACTCCTAAAGATACCCACCAAAGGCGCGTGTCTTGAAGGTCTTAAATGCGGCCTGACTCTTGTGGACTTGCCCGAAGCACGAAGCGGTCGAATGAATGACGACGCAGTAGTCGGTGACCGGCGTTGTGTTGAGGACCAGGCTCATGGCACGAGTCTCCTCTTCGTGGCAGCCGACTTGCTGTGAGCTCGGACACGAGTCCGGGTTCGGACACACCGTGACCTTGTATGGACCCAGAGGTTCCCACACGAGCTGAGGAGGAGTCCAGTGTAACTTCGTTTTTCTTGGGGCTATAGGGTCATGTTTTATGTCCATTGGAGGCCCTGGATCTGTAGAGCAGAAAAGGTACGTTTTCAAGCAAATGTTCTTTATACAATTCTTTTACGTATAGACTACAGACTTATAGATAGCTATACTAATAAGGAAATGTCGTTTATCTTGTCCACAATCAATATTATTATTATTTGCTCTTAGAATGCCTATTGACATTTAGAGTAATATAGGCTGTCCCAAGTCACCAGGCTCGATTTATTATGAACCGTAAAACAACCGACTGCATGTAGCTGTCTAAACGTTTCGTCGAAGGTGAATTTCACACGTCAGTTTTTTCTTGTAAAATCGCAAAGCACAGCTCTCTCTCTGCAAAAAACACGGCCAAGAAACCTGCCAGGGTCAACGGTGGGAGACCACTGAGTCGCGTTGCGGGGCGCCTTTGGCGTTCGTATTGATAGATGGCGCCGGGAGCAGCATCCGAAGCTGTAGCTGACCAGCGAAAGTCAGCAGACGAAATTCGTTGGCAGCAAAACCGCCGTCGTCATGTAAACACTTTTTTCTTGTTTGGATTTTATTGTCCGCATTAATTTTTAAACCAAAGGAAGCATCGGGGAAAAATAAGATACGAACATAGGAGCGCGTGGCTCGCGGTACAGGCTGCGCCGCCTGGAAGTGAGCCTAGGGGCGAGGGTGTGTGGCCTACCCCGATTTGTATACGTCCTTCGCTCGGCACTTTTTAAAGGGGCCATGAAACTAATTTTCGGCTGGGATATAATATTTTAAATTGGGACTTTACTAATCCCATATCCTTTAGTTGGCCAAAAGAAAGAGGGTAGAAAGTTAGAAGCCAGCTTTTCTGTACGAACATTTGAAATTATAGCGGAATATTTTGTACCCTCTTTCCTTCGAAAGCTCTCCGCCTTTTCACTATGACACATCCGCGGTTCCCAGTGCGCGTCAGCGGTGCCAACCTGACGTCAGCCGAGCCCAGCTCACGCATTGGACACGAGAACTGCGTCACTCGGACGTATGGGCTCATCAACAATCAATCCATCGATGACTATTTGGATTCGCGTTCGTGGCCAATCAGTGCCCTGACGGAACTTATCGTCACTGAGGAATGACAGGTTCTATGGTGTGTGTAAAAAGCACAGTGGAAGCTACGAGCCATGGAACCGGTGCCGAAGATTGTCACGACGACGTGATTTCGCAGTTCGCATTTGAGTTGAGGATTAAAGCTAAGGAGGAAGAAGTAGGAAAATCGTTTAATTATCCCTTTAAGAAGTGCCATGCAAAGGACGCATACAAATCGGGGTAGGCCACACACCCTCGCCCCTAGGCTCACTTCCAGGCGGCGCAGCCTGTACCGCGAGTCACGCGCTCCTCTGATCGTATTATACTTTTCCCTATAGTACATTACAAAAAGGAAATATTAATTTTAATAAGCCACTGTGGTCGCGAGCAGTCTTCATAAAGAATTAGCGCCTTCTATCAATACGAGCGCCAAACACACCCCGCAACTCGACTCGGTCGTCTGCATCGCCGCCCGCCGTAGACGCTGGCAAGTTTCTTGGCCCTATTTTATACAGGAAGGAAGCTACGCTTTGTAATTTTAAAAGAAGAAACTGACTTGCGAAATACACCCTCGACGAAAAGCTTAGATTGCTACCTCAAGGCGTCAATTTTTACTGTAAAATTTAGATCGAACCTGGTGACTTTGGACACCCTATAGATATACTATATATATATATATATATATATATATATATATATATATATATATATATATATATATATATATATATATATATATATATATATATATACACATATATATCATTTCTTATGAGTCTGCTTATGCTCTTTATTTCATGTTGTACGCGGTTCTATAGCGAGTTTTTTTCGAGATAATCAAACATGGAATTTCGGTCCGGACAAATAATGTACGAATTGCAAAAAGCTCATACTCCGGCCTATTAACATACCAGGATCGCTAAACTTATGGAACACAAACCTTCTTTGCTTTCTGATGTAGCGGGGGGTGTGACCGAACGAACGCCGCGAAGTTTCCTCCTCCCTCTATTCGAAAACGCATCAGGTTGGCAACTTTTGACGTTGAAGGAACGGAAAATCCCCCGTGATCCTTAGGCAGTGCACGAGAGCACGAGACAGCGCGGCGAGGCAAGCGTTCAAGGCGCTGGCTTGCTGTTCGTTATCTTTGAGCACTGCAGCGCCGTCAATCCCGTCATGCCTCGCTCAGGCGAGGAGCGAGGCAGATGACGCACTCTAAAAAACGTTTGTGCGTCTACTTTCACGCACAACCCTCGGAGAGCCAATCACCTCAACTTACGGAGGCAGCTCAGCGAATGACAATGCCGAAACATATGTTTAGACCACAAAACACAGTCTGAGTTGTGACATCAAGCAAAGCAAAACGTCACACTTGCATTGCATAATGTCACAACTCAGACTGCGTTTTTTGGTCTAAACATATATGCTTCGGCATTGTCATTCGCTGAGCTGCCTCCGTTAATTGCGGTGATTGGCTCTCCGAGTGTAGTGCGTGAAAGCAGACGCACGGGCTTTTTTAAGAGTGCGGGAGTTCGTCTGCTATGATGCGGCATTCGCACAGCGGAACTGAAAGAACAAGTAGAGTTTCTGCTAGAAATCACGTTCCGTGGGCCACAAACTCAAACGTGAGTTTGAATTGTAGGCGTCCGATATTTCACGAAGGGAGGAATCGACGACCCGTGCTTTATTTGTGAAATCTGAGTCGCTATGTTGCTATACAGGCGCAGAAACCTACCAGTGTGTAATGAAAGGTTCAGGACAAACACATCACAGGTCGCGTTATCTCACATCATCCGAGTGCAGGTAAAAAGTGGAACATTTCTCAACAAAGCTCCCACAGCACAAACCTACGACGCATTCACAAAGCGTCTGGGAAAGCTAAACATAAAGACGTTACCCGAGGCTTGAGCAAAATCATAATTGAAAGCCAGCTATCTTGCCCCGTCGCATTTTGTTTGAGAAAGTTCTCGTTGTCGACGCCCTCACCAGGGAAATAAAAAGTCTTACGAAACGTACTGCCAGATATTCTAACCAACTAGATTTAAGCCGTGTCCTTTCAGTGGTTCACTCATAATAGCATGATGGAAACGGAGGAAGCTTTTGCGCGTACAATGTCATTAATTTTATCTAGTGCGTGCTGTTTTGCAGTCAGCTGGTTTTGGAAACTTTCGCCGTCTGTAAATACCTCTGACAGCCGAGTTGCTTAATTGGAAGTCATCGGAAATATAATTTACACTTTGCAGCAAATTGCGTTTATACATAAACGCTGGCAGCGACTGCACTCTCGCATTCCCGTTCATCACGTCGAACAGAAATGCGCTAGTTTCGGTTTGAGGTCGGTAGTCTTGTACAACATCTGTGGCGACAGCATCGACTGCACTCAGTACATTCGGCAAGTTCGTTCGGGGCCGGTTCTCCGTGCAGCACTCTGCGGGTGCGATGCATTAGAACTCTCACAGTGCGAGTCTGAATGGCAGATCGGGAACCCGTCCGTGGAATCACCGGAGGGCATTGCTTGACAACAGGCAATACACGCAAGTCTAAGAAAGAAACACGCAAAAGTAGGAATATTTAAGCTTGTACGTGGCGCTCGAGGACGAGTATTTTTAATGTGCTGCGATCATTATGTCAAGTGCTTGGAGATCAAATATACATTCGTCAAGCGTTCGAACGTTGATTTAAACAAAATGGGCCGGACGGCCGCCGACTCTACCGACGTCGCTTGCTTCGGTTGCTAAATAAATGACACATTCAGCGACTGAACGGCACGCTCCGAGTTTGAGTTTGTCACGGAAGCCGTCACAGCAGTTTAAAAAAAAAGCTTTCACCACAATTACTATGTACAAGTGGGTAAAACAATGCGAATGCCCCAATAAAGGTCTTCTAACCTATGTTTGCTAAGCTCTGATGACTTCGAGGTCGCGAATGACTCCACAATAACTCTCGGTCACCCTTGTCTTATGAAACACATCACAGTTTACGCCCAACACAGTCGCCCTCGACCCTCAACCACACCACATTTATTTTAAAAAGATTGGTATTCTAACGCGTTTGATATTCTTGCCCACAACATTTTCTGTTATTTGCAGAAAACACGATAGAAGTTTCATGGTCGAGAACAACCTACTAAGATAACAAAATTGAGCTTTCCCGTTTCTCCCGTAGCATGCATTAGCTCGTGTCAAGCGATGACTGCTGTCGGTGCCGCTGGACCCCAGCAACGCAGGCCTCTATTCCCGATACAGCCTACCAAAAAGGCCAGTGGTGCTAGTGCTATATTAGAGCTAATTCGTTAGTCTGCATTCAATTTTCTCGATTACAACTTATATAGCACCACACTGTGAAATCTCGAGCAAAGCCTGTCGTCTGCAGCGTCTTCAGTTCCACTTCTAATACGTCTTACAGCAAACGGAAGTACCAAAGCCCCACCACGGAGGCAGGTTCAAAGAGAGTTTCAGTGGTTTCAGTTTCGTTTTCGAGTTCGTCGCCTTCGTGACGCAGGCATGTAAAGTTTTTCCAGACAATATTTTCAGTGGAATTTGTGTCGACTGAATGTTCCTGGTGCCCTTTCACACAAAATGTGGCAGTAGTCCCATCACTGCACACATTGACAAAATGTCGTCTGCAATCGTTTCAACGGCCAGACAAACGCTTAAAAAACGGCATCGTCGCCTTCTCCGCCCGCTTCGCCGGCTCTTTCAACATCTAGAACATTAAACCCGCGCATGTCCTCCATACAATTGGATATTGTGATTGGCTTTATGGAGGACCACCCACAAATGGCGGGGGCCTGCACCGAGCTCACCGCAGGGTTCACCAGAGATCGGCTAACTCTGTAGCTGGCCCAGCTTAGGCGGCGCCTAAACAGCCAGAGGCCGGCGGACAAGACTGGGGCGGAGTGGCAACAGTTTTGGAGTGCGAAAGTTAGAGTAGAAAGGGGCAATACAGGTATGCTAAGTGAGGAAGGGAGAGGCACGGGAGGAAG